TTGTTTGCATTTGAAATTTCCCATTTGTATAGCTTCCTTTACAACCTCCGGATGTATGAAAGCTCTTCGAAAGCAATGTAAAGAAATAAAAACTTATATTTGCATAGAACCCTTCACAGCAATCAAACATTTTGCAGGCAATTAAGATAATTTGCAGTCACTGTTGTAATATAAGAAATGTGGCAGCGAATTTGTGCAGCAAGATCCCACAGTGGTCAGGAAAATAACTAGATGGTCTGCTTTAGTGAAGATGGTTGAGTGTTAAATTTGGCTTAGGCCATATCTCCTCTTCATGAAACAGTACCCTGACATTGAGAGAAAGTGATACAAAGAATGAGCAGGAAACCCAAAGGAGAGAAAGTGAGCAGGTAGGATTGAGGGAGATGAAATAAATTCAGGTGACCGTCTAGTATTAGGGGTCTGGGGTTTGGAGGTTAGAGTCCAAAGGAGATGTATGAGAGCAAGCTGGGGAATGAACAGTAATGTGGGATGAATGAGCACGAAGGACAACTGAGAGAATGAAGGAAGGGAGCAAGAAAGAGCCCATGTGGAGAGTAGGAGTGTGCAAACGGTATATTGGAGGGAAGAAAAGTGAGCAGGGAAGTCATGGAGCTAACAGCATAGAACATAGAACATAGAACATTACAGTGCAGTACAGGCCCTTCGGCCCTTGATGTTGCGCCGACCTGTGAAACCAATCTGAAGCCCATCCAACCTAAACTATTCCATTATCATCCATATGTTTATCCAATGACCATTTAAATGCCCTTAAAGTGGGCGAGTCTACTATTTTTGCAGGCAGGGCATTCCACGCCCTTACTACTCTCTGAATAAAGAACCTACCTCTGACATCTGTCCTATATCTATCACCCCTCAATTTAAAGCTATGTCCCCTCGTGCTAGCCATCACCATCCAAGGAAAAAGGCTCCCACTGTCCACCCTATCTAATCCTCTGATCATCTTGTATGTCTCTATCAAGTCACCTCTTAACCTTCTTCTCTCTAACGAAAACAGCCTCAAGACCCTCAGCCTTTCCTCATAAGACCTTCCCTCCATACCAGGCAACATCCTGGTAAATCTCCTCTGCACCCTTTCCAATGCTTCCACATCCTTCCTATAATGCAATGACCAGAACTGTACGCAATACTCCAAGTGCGGCCGCACCAGAGTTTTGTACAGCTGCAACATGACCTCATGGCTCCGAAACTCAATCCCTCTACCAATAAAACCTAGCATACTGTACGCCTTCTTAACAACGCTATCAACCTGGGTGGCGACTTTCAGTGATCTATGCACGTGGACACCGAGATCTTTCTGCTCATCCACACTACCAAGAATCTTACCATTAACCCAGTACTCTGTATTCCTGTTACTCCTTCCAAAGTGAATCACCTCACACTTTTCTGCATTAAACTCCATTTGCCACCTCTCAGCCCAGCTCTGCAGCTTATCTATGTCCCTCTGTAACCTGCAACATCCTTCCGCACTATCCACAACTCCACCAACTTTGGTGTCATCCGCAAATTTACTAACCCATCCTTCTACGTCCTCATCCAGGTCATTTATAAAAATGACAAACAGCAGTGGCCCCAAAACAGATCCTTGAGGTACACCACTAGTAACTGAACTCCAGGATGAACATTTCCCATCAACCACCACCCTCTGTCTTCTTACAGCTAGCCAATTTCTGATCCAAACCGCTAAATCACCCTCAATCCCATGCCTCCGTATTTTCTGCAATAGCCTACCATGGGGAACCTTATCAAACGCTTTACTGAAATCCATATACACCACATCAACCGCTTTACCCTCATCCACCTGTTTGGTCACCTTCTCAAAGAACTCAATAAGGTTTGTGAGGCACGACCTACCCTTCACAAAACCGTGTTGACTATCCCTAATCAAATTATTCCTTTCTAGATGATTATAAATCCTATCTCTTATAATCCTTTCCAACACTTTACCCACAACCGAAGTAAGGCTCACTGGGCTATAATTACCAGGGTTGTCTCTACTCCCCTTCTTGAACAAGGGGACAACATTTGCTAGTCTCCAGTCTTCTGGCACTATTCCTGAAGACAATGACGACATAAAGATCAAAGCCAAAGGCTCTGCAATCTCCTCTCTAGCTTCCCAGAGAATCCTAGGATAAATCCCATCCGGCCCAGGGGACTTATCTATTTTCACACCTTCCAGAATTGCTAACACTTCCTCCTTATGAACCTCAAACTAACAGACCCATGGAAACAGACCCTTCGGTCCAACTTGTCCATGCTGACCAGGTATCCTAAATTAATCTAGTCCCATTTGCCAGCATTTGACCCATATCCCTTTAAACACTTCCTAATCATATTCTCATCCAGATGTCTTTTAAATGTTGTAATTGTACCAGCCTTCACCACTTCCTCTGACAGCTCATTCCATACACGTACCACCCTCTGCATGAAAATCTTACCCCTCAGGTCCCTTTTTTAAATTTTTCCCCTTTTGGCTTAAATTTATGTCCTCTAGTTTTCGACTCCCCTGCCCCAGGGAAAAGACCTTGGCTATTCACCCAATCCATGCCCTTCATGATTTTATAAACCTCTATAAGGTCACCCCTCAGCCTTCGACGCTCCAGTGAACATAGCTTCAGCCTATTCAGCCTCTCCCTTTTCTGAACCCTTTCTAGTTCCGCAACATCCTTCCTATAACAGGGAGACGAGAATTGAATGCAGTATTCCAGAAGTGGCCTAACCAATGTCCTGTACAGCTGCAACATGACCTTCCAACTCCTATACTCAATGCACTGACCAATAAATGCAAGCATACCAAACACTTTCTTCACTACCGTGTCTGCTTGGGACTCCACTTTCAAGGGACTATGAACCTGCACTCCAAGGTCTCTTTGTTCAACAACACACCCCAGGACCTTATCATTAAGTGTATAGGTCCTGCCCTGATTTGCCTTTCCAGAATGCAGAACCTTACATTTATCTGAATTAAACTCCATCTGGTACTCCTTGACCCATTGGTCCATCTGATCAAGGTCTTGTTGTACTCTGAGGTAACCTCCTTCGCTGTCCACTACACCCCCAGATTTGGTGTCAATGCAAATTTACTAACCATACCCCCTATGTTCACATCCAAATCATTCGTATAAATGACGAAAAGCAAAGGACTCAGCCATAATCCCTGTGGCACACTGCTGGTCACAGGCCACCAGTCTGAAAAGCAACCCTACACCACCACCCTCTGTCTTCTACCTTTGAGCCAGATATGTATCCAAATGGCTGGTTCTCCCTGTATTCCATCTGATTTAACCTTGCTAACCAGTCTACCATGAGAAATCTTGTCGAATGCCTTACTGCAGTCCATATAGTTCATGTCCTCCACTCTGCCCTCATCAATCCTCTTTGTTACTTCTTCAAAAAGCAGAATGAAGTTAGTGAGACATGATCTCCCACGCACAAAGCCACGTTGACTATCTCTAATCAGCCCTTGCCTTTCCAAATACATGTAAACCCTGTCCCTCTGATTCCCTCCAACAACTTGCCCACCACCAATGTCAGGATCACCGATCTATAGTTCCCTGGCTTTTCCTTACCACCTTTTTTAAACAGTGGCACCAAGTTTGCCAGCCTACAGTCTTCCAGCACCTCACCTGTGGCTATTGATGATAGAAATATCTCAGCAAGGGGCACAGCAATCATTTCCCTAGATTCCCACAGAGTTCTAGGGTACACCTGATCAGGTCCCAGGGATTTATCCACCTTTATGCTTTTTAAGATGTCCAGTACCACCACCTCTGTAATATGGACAGTTTTCAAGATGTCACTGTTTATTTTCCCACTTTGAATATCTTCCATATCTTTCTCCACAGCAAATACTGATCCAAAATACTCGTTTAGTATCTCTCCCATCTCTTGCAGTTCCACACGTAGGTAGCCTTGTTAATTTTTAAGGACCCCTATTCTCTCCCTAGTCACTGCTTTGTCCTTAATGTATTTGTAGAAGCCCTTTGGATTCTCCTTAACCCTGTTTGCAAAAGCTGTCTCATTTTTTTTTCTTTATTCATTCACGGGATGAGGGCGTCGCTGACCAGGCAGCATTTATTGTCCATCCCTAATTGCCCAGAGAGCAGTTAAGAGTCAACCATATTGCAGTGGGTCCAGGGTCACATGTAGGCCAGACCAGGTAAGGATGGCAGTTTCCTTCCCTAAAGGACTTCATGTCCCCCTTTTTCTCTCCTGATTTCCTTTTTAAGTATACTCCTGCCTTTGTACTCTTCCAGGGATTCACTCTATACCCTTCTGTCTATACCTGACATATGCTTCCTTCTTGATCTTGACCAAAATGTCAATTTCTCTAATCATCCAGCATTCCCTTCACCTACCAGCCTTGCTGTTCACCCTGACAGGAACATACTGCCCCTGGATCTCGTTATCTCATTTTTGAAGACCTCCCATTTTCCAGCTGTCCCTTTACCTGCAAACATCCTCCCCCCAGTCAACTTTTTAAAGTTCTTGTCTTATACTGTCAAAATTGTGAAAAGTGGTTAAACAGTGAATGGGGCAGGGAAATGAGTGAGCAATAGATGAAGTGAGTGTTGAGAGGTTGTGACAAAGTGAGAGGAAACATGAGGGACATTGATAGAGCACATGAGTGAAGAATAATGCAAGCAGGAGCAGCACAAGAGGGTGATGCGTGCAAGAGGGAAATTCTGAACAAGAAGAGGGGAGATAGCTCTGTTTTGTACCATTTTGTTCAACAGGTCACCTGTTACTGCACTGTCTTACTTGGAATCCAATCTCCAATATTTTCATATAAAAAGGATGGAATTCCCAAATCTCTTGGTTAATCTTTTGATTCATTATTTGTCTCAGGTGGCTGTGAACTGATTTTAATGGAAACGAGGATTTGAAATAATTACAGCAGCATTTTTGCCTGCGTCCACGCTGCCCAAGTTGTTATACTCTGCTTACTCAGCAGTTGCTCTTAACTCTGTGTTGTTCTGTAGGCTTCCCTCCATCAGTACCGCAGTAATGCTGGATCTCCAGCCAACCAGTCTCCCACCTCCCCTGGATCCAATCAAGGCTTCTCTCCAGGCAGCTCCCCTCAAGTAAGGGAACCTTTGCTTCCAGAACTTAACTGTTTTGACTAATTGATGATTGCAGTAACGCTGTCCCATCCTTGCCCATGTCACAATTTGCTTTGTCACTGTCCATCAACATGTGGCTGTTTAACATGAACTATTTCTGAGCATTTTTAATGTTCCCATTGCCACTTGTGTTGGTGTTTATGTGACAATATGACTCTACACATCTGCATGATTCAGTGTTCATGCATGTCATATGCATGTATGTGAGTGATTTGATCAGCCTGTTCATTGACTTTGGAGTTTATGGAAGAATGTCCCAGTTTCTTCAAATCAAGTGATGGTACAGGCAGAATGGATGACTGGGAGCCTGAGATTTATTTTGAGCTTATGCTTCACAACTGAGGGAACATGCTCTGGGAGGAAAGAGTGTGAGCAGGTGAATATATGAGATATGCACTACTGAAGCATGATTGTGAACTTGAGCAAGCAGAGGCTGTGCTCTAGGAGAGAGCCGAGAAGCGAGGAGGAGTATGGTCGCACAGCTAGTGGATATTCTCTGGGCCTCCAAATAGTGAGACAGAATTGGAGGAGCAAATGTGCCTGGAAATCATGGAGATTTGTAAGAAGTGTTGAGTGGGGATATTGTAGGACTCAAATTCCCCAAATGTCAAGTGAAGGAGGGAGACTAACTTCTGAAACATGTTTAGAAATCCCATGATCTTTATGTTCTTGGTCCGACTTGGAAGGAGGCATTTCTGAACCCGATGCTAGGAATGAGATGCGCCAAATGGACAAAATGTCTGTGGAGGAACAATTGGTTAAGAGCATTCATCATATCTTACAGTTTTGATTAATAATGGGGAAGAGCAAGGAACAATCTACAGTGCGACTTGTGAATTGAAAGAGGATAATTTCAAAGGATGAGAAAGGATCCAGCCAGGACCAAGTGGAACCAGAAACCAACAAGAAAACACTGTAATAAAGCAATGATTATTTTAAGGAAGAGCTGTTTCGGGTTGAAAGACGGGAAACAACACCGGGTCTCCTTTAAATGGCGAAGGAAAGGGGGCATAGGATGAAATTTTAAAAAGGGTACGTGATACATGCAGTGTATTCTTCAAATGAAAACAGATCAAATACAATATGGAAGTGACAATTAAAAAAAGACTAGCATAAAGAAAATGTGGATGCAGCATGACAGTTAATAGAAGAAAAAGTTCAAACATTGATCACTAACATGGAAATAGCAAATTTGTATTGAGGTTGGTTGGGTCTCATTAGTGACAAAGAGGATATACTAAATGCTCAGAGGGTACCTCTGTTTTTGTTCATTCAGGAGATATGGACTTCACAGCTAGGCCAGCATTTATTTCCGACCCCTGATTATATCTGGGGAAGGTGGTCGTGCTGAAGTCGATTTTGTCTGGGCACACCCACCGTGTAATTGGGGTAGGTGTTCCAGGATTTTGAGCTAGCAGCACTGAATAAGTTGCGCCGTATTTCCAACTGAGGATGCTGTGGGGCTTGCAAATGGTGTCAATCCTATGAGTGTCCACTCTTGTCCTTCCAGATGAAAGCGGTAATGGGTTTGGGAGGTGTTGCCTAAAGAGCCTTTGAGTTTCTGCATTGCATCTTGCAGATGGCACACACTGCTGGTACTGTGTGTCAGTGGTGGTGGAAGAGAATGTTTATTTGTGGATGTGGTGCCAATCAAGCAGGCTGTTTTGCTGTAGATGCTGTCCACTGTATCAAGTGTTGTTGAAGCTGCACTCATCTAGGCAAGAGGGGAGTATTCCATCACACTTAACATGATACAGGATTCCTTACCTTTCACCTGCTCTTGCAACTACAGTATTTATGTGGCAGTCCGGTTTAGTCTCTTGTCAATGGTAACTATCAGGATACTGATTAGTGGAGGATTCAGCAACAGCAATACAATTGAACATCATGGAGCAATGGTTAGATTCTCTCTTGTTGGAGATGGTCATTGTCTTTCACTTGTGTGATGTGACAGTGACCTGCCACTTGTCAGCCCAAGTCTGGATAGGAATTCCATTGTAGAGGAATCAGACAGTGATTCCAGAATCAGTGTCTCTCCAAGTAACAGTGTCTCTGTCTCCCTGATGTCAGAGGTTTAGAATGGCTGCAGAACATCCTTCAGGGGAGAGTACCAGCAGAGGTCATGGTCAACATTGGCACCAATGACTTGGGTAGGAAGGGATTGAGATTGGAAAGCACATTTCAGAGGTCTAGATAGGAGATTGAGAGAACGAGGTTTGAAAGCAAAATTCACAGGCTAGCAGAGGTGGGTGATGGCCTAGTGGTATTATCGCTAGATTATTAATCCAGAGACCCAGGCAATATTCTAGTGACTCTGGTTCAAATCCTGCCATGGCAGCTGATGGAATTTGCATTCAATAATAATCTGGAAATAAGAGTCTAATGATGACCATGAAACCATTATAAGTTGTTGGAAAAGCCCATCTAGTTCATAAATGTCCTTTAGTGAAGGAAAATTGCCACATTTACCTAGTCTGCCCTACATGTGACTCCAGACCTGCAACAATGTGGTCAACTCTTAACTGTCCTCTGGACAATTAGGGATGTGCAACAAATGCTGGTCTAGCCAGTGACACCCACATCTTGTGAATCATTTTTTTAAAGAATTGTGGGCATGAGGTCAGAAAGTAGATTTCAGGGGCTTTGATAGGAGATTGAAAGCAAAGACCTCCAAAGCAGAAATCTCAATCATGCTAGTGAACATCGAAAGAGGAGAATCAAATGATTGAACATGTACCTGGAAACCTGATGTTGAAGGATAGTGATTTCTGGGACATTGGGATGGGTTCTGGGGAAGATGGAACCTATACCACTAGATGATCTACATATAACAGAGCCAAGATAAATATCTTTGCAGAGAGATTTGCTAGAGCTGTTGGAGAGGTTTTAAGCAAGATTGGCAAGGAGGTGGGAACTGAAGGGCAAATTCAGAGCATGGAATAGGATGCAGAAATTTAGCGAATGTCTCTGCTTCCTCTGTCTTTCAGGAGTTCATACAGTGCAGGAATTCGGCAGTCTCAAAATGTGCATTTGCAATGCAAGGAGTATACAAAATTAAACCAATGAACTGAGGGCAAATATCGATGCATAGCTTGATTGCACTGCTACACCAAGGGATGTGAGGAAGACCACTTTATTATCCCTGGACATAGAGTTTTCAGGCAGGATAGAGAAGGGGATAAAAAAAAGTGGAGTATAGCATTATTAAAGGTCCTGGAGAGTGTTGCTGAACAAAGAGACTTTAGAGTGCAGGTTCATAGTTCCTTGAAAGTAGAGTCAGAGATAGCCAGGATGGTGAAGAAGGCATTTGGTATGCTTGCCTTTATTGGTCAGTGCATTGAGGATAGGAGTTGGGAGGTCATGTTGTTGCTGTACAAGACATTATTTATTCCACTTTTGGAATACTGTGTTCAATTCTGGACTCCCTGCTGTAGGAATGATGTTGTGAAACTTGAAAGGGTTCAGAAAGATTTACGAGATGTTGCCAAGGTTGGAGGGTTTGAGCTGTAGAGAGATGCTGAATAGGCTGGGGCTACTTTCCCTGAAGTGTTGAAGGCTGAGGGGTGACCTTATAGAAGTTTATAAAATTGCGGGGCATGGATAGGGTGAATAGCCAAGATCTTTTCCCCAGGGTGGACAAGGGCAAAAATCACATGACACCAGGGCAGCAGAGTCCAAAACTAGAGGCTATAAGTTTAAGATGAAAGGGGAAAGATTTAAAAGGGACCTAAGAGGCAACTTTTTCACGCAGTGGTTGGTGCATGTGTTGAATGAGCTGCCAGGGGAAGTGGTGAAGGTTGGTACAATTACAACATTTAAAAGGCTTCTGGAATAGCATTAAGTAGGAAGTATTTAAAGGGATATGGGCTAAATGCTGGCAAATGGGACTAGATATTCTAAATATCTAGATGACCTGGACAAGTTGAACCAAAGGGTCTGTTTCCATGCTGTACTGCTCTATGACTCTAGAATTGGTTGAAGAATCAGTCACAATAATGACAATGGATGAGATACTAAATGAAGCATCAAATGAGGCAACATGGGTTGAGCACAGAAACAAAACAGAGCGGACCCATTGCTCGACATGAACTTGTAGACCCCAAGATTGGTTGGAATGTTGGAGGAGCAAATAGTGTATTTTCTGGGGCAGGTGGGACCTGTAAAATGGATTGGGCCTGGACCTGAACCAGAATGGGACCAACATCCTTGAGGGTGCATTTGCTGGTGCTGTTAGCAGGAGTTTAAACTAGTTCAGCAGGGGACAGTGTGTTAGTTCAGTCGGGACACAGCAGATTTGAGTAAAGGAAGCAAGGCAGAGGGAGTTCCGCATGAGGTTGCTTGATCATTACTTTAATGCTAGGAATATTATAGGCATGACTTGAGTTAAGGTTGTGGATTGATATGTGGAATTGCAGTGTTGTTGCTCTCACAGAGACATGCTTGAGGAAGGGGCAGGGCTGGCAACTCCATGTTCCAGGACATAAGATCTTCAGACAGGATAGGGAGGGTGTAAAAGAGAAGATAGTGTTGCAATAGCAATTAAGGAGTCAGTTAGGAGTGACAATATCTTGAAAGGGTCTTCAAATGAGGCTTTGTGAGTAGAGCTTAGGAATAAAAAGGGGACATTCACACTGCTGGATGTGTCTTATTGTTCATAAACAATGTAGACAATTCATTGAGGTGTGAAGTAATCATGTTAAAAATTATTCATTGGATGATTCATGGCTATACCAGCATTTATTGCCCATCCCTAATTGCTGTGGGTCTGGACTCACATTTAGGCTAGATTGGGTAAGGATGGCAGTTTCCCTCCCTAAAGGACATTCCCAAATAGTAATTAGGTAGTCATAGTATAAAGGGTTTAGAGAGAGCAGATTTCTTGAAATATATTCAAGGTAGACTTTTATATCAAAATCTAGAAGATCCAAAACGAAAGTGCAGTGCTAGACCTAATTTTAAGA